TTCCAAGCAGCCTCCATGTCTCCAGTGTCTTTTTCCCCACTTGGAGCTGAACCCAGAAGGACATTTCTTTCAACAGAAGTTCACATACACATCCTAGGAAATCTAACATGTACATGGTTCAAGAAACCCTGATTTCTAAGGAAGATTGCAAATTGTGCTCTGGCAGTTCAAATCATATATTTCTACTAAATTCTTTTGTAAACAAAATATTCCCCAGGGTAGAAAATTTGGAAGGAGGGTTTGTTTGTTTGTTTTTAGTTTGTTTGCCTGGGAAGAAGGCAAACTTGTTACCTTTTCATCTCTTTTTTGTGTCATGGAAAATGGTTCTTTTAAGCTTTTGTTTTGGTTTTCAAGTCGTTTCTCTTAATAATAATTTTTTTTTGCAAATTGAACTGAATTTAAATATTCAGATTTAAACTGGTAAAGGCTTCAGTGTGTGGGCATCCTTGCTGTATTGTCAGTAATTCCTTTAAGACACCACTCCTTTTTCTGCATTCACTTGGTGTGTGAGGTTTTTCTACATCAACCATGTAAACCCTGGGAAAGGATTAAGCACTTTAAAGATTAGTCAATAGTTTTAGCAAAATGGCCATATGAGATCCAAAGTCTCTTTGCCTGCTTCTGATCTAATATGTAAAGGTAAAAATTCCCCTTGCACAAATGTGCTAGTTGTTCCTGACTCTAGGCAGCTGTGCTCATCTCCGTTTCAAAGCCGAAGAGCCAGCGCTGTCCGAAGACACCTCCACGGTCATGTGGCCAGCATGACTAAACACCGAACAGAACGCTGTTACTTTCCCACCAAAGTGGTCCCTATTTTTCTACTTGCATTTTTACATGCTTTCAAATTGCTAGGTTGGCAGAAGCTGGGACAAATAACAGGAGCTCACTCAGTTACGCAGCACTAGGGATTCGAACCGCTGAACTGCCGACCTTCGGATTGATAAGCCCAGCATCTTAGCCACTGAGCCACTGCGTCCCTGACTCTGATCTAATATGCTAAGCTAAATTAAAGTTTACCGTTGACTCACAACCACAACTGGGACTAGAACTTCCATTGCTAAGCAAGGTGGTTGCTAAATGAATTGTGCTCAATTTTTAGGACATTTTTGGCCACAATTGTTATGTGAATCACTCTGATTGCAAAAGTGAATCATATGGTCATTAAATCATCGATTTTTCTTTTGTCGGAAGCCAGCTAGGAAGGTTTCAAATTCACCCCGGGACACTGCAACTGTCATAAATATATGCTGGTTGTCAAGCACCCACATTTTGATCACAAGACTGCATTGGTCATAGTATGAGGTCCTATTATACGTCTTTTTCTCACTGCCATGGTAACATCGAACAGTTGCTAAAATGAATGGTTTTAGAGTCAAGGCTACTTGTTCATGTAAATAAGAATCTATCAGCAAGATACAAACTCATTTGAATCCTCCAGTGGATTCAAGCGGGATAGGTAGCTTCACCATCAGATGGATTTGTAACTGGCTGACAAACTGTATCAACGAGTAGTCCTTAATGGTATTATGTCTACATGGAGGGAAGTAAGCAGTGGGGTACCACAAGGTTCCCTCTTAGGGCCACTACTCTTCAATATCTTCATAAATGACTTAGATGAGGGAATAGAAGGGGAATTTATCAAATTTGCAGATGATACTAAGCTGGCAGCAGGGGTGGGTTTCTCGCCCCGTTCCAACCGGTTCGGTTCGGTTGGAACGGGGCCGGCGGTGTCCTTGTGCACACGTGCAGTGCACGCATGCGTACTAGCGCCTGTGCGATGCTCCAGCTNCAATAGGCTGACTCTGTAAACAACTTAGAGAGGGTTGTAAAGCACTAGGAAGCGGTATATATGTCTAAGTACTGCTCTGCTCTACTCTACTCTAATCTCATGTTCAAGGTTGAACCACCACCCTTTCTTCTCCTTCTTGTTCCTCCTTGGCCATAGAAACCTTGAATAGCAGGGAGTTTTTACCAAGAGCACGAGACGATCCATCAGATGGCAGAGTTTCGTTTTTTTCAACTTGATCTTTCCACAGTTTTTCATGATTTTGGTATCAAAACCTGGAAATGAGACATTTGAGATGATTGGATCGAAAACAAAATAAACACAGCTGCCACAGTGGGAGAAACCAGTCACCAAATGCCTGTAGTAGCTGTGAACTGGATTGGCTACCATTCAGTGCCACCTCAGTTTAAGATGTTATTTGAGGGCAGATGGGCATACGCGCAAACAGGCTGTCACCAATTTCCACTATGAAATAATAAACCTGGCACATTATTTGATCTTGATTGATGGGGTTGGGTTAGGTACTTATCTAGCTGTTTTTTAATTTAAAAACTCTTATAAACAGTTTCAAACCAGATCGTAAGCCTCTCATCTCATCACAGATGTGGGTGCAACTTTTTCAGGTGAAGCAAGGGAGATGCTATTTGAGATTATCCAGAGCCCAGATAGCATGAACTGGAACTTTAATACTTCCCGGTTGAGTAAATATAGAAAAAGGAGCAGAGAAGAGCAAATACATCACAGAAGTGGGGTGGCATGTGATCCAAAAGAAAAGTTCGTTTGGAAGAAGTAGACTGGAGCTTGGTAAAAGATTATGGAGAAGTCTAGACTGGAGAAGAAAGGATTACAGTAAGGTTTCTAGTCCTTGGGAACTTTTAAGATGCATGGATTTCAACTCCCAGAATTCCCATGGCTGGCTAGGAAATTCTGGGCATTGAAGTCCACATGCCTTAAAGTTCCCAAATTTGGAAAATCCTGGATTACAGACATAAAGCTGGTCAATCCATCTCCAATTAAAATGGAAAGTGGCTTCTGTGGCACCACTGATTTATGGTCTTTCTCCCTTCAGATCAGTGGTGGGTTTCAATTTATTTTACTACCGGTTCGCTCGTATGTGCACATCCACTCACGCATGTGCAGAAGCATCCAGGTGGGTGGGTGGAGCCTCCCACCGCTGCCACTATCAGTTCTCCCGATCCGGGGCGAACCGGCAGAAACCCACCTCTGTTTCAGATGTCTCTGACCAGCTGCTAAAGAGAAGATAGAACAATTTTGCTTCCTGTGTATGGAGATTCTCAGTCATCCATCCAGAGTTCAGCACTGCAGGCTATTTCAGCTGACTGCTAGCAGCAGTTCGGCAGTTCAAATCTCACTGGCTCAAGGTTGATTCAGCCTCCCATCCTTCTGAAGTGGGTAAAATGAGGACCCAGATTGTTGGGGGTTAATAGGCTGACTCTGTAAACCGCTTAGAGAGGGCTGTAAAAAGCACTATGAAGCGATATATAAGTCTAAGTGCTATTGCTATTATTTCTCTGGACAGACATTTACAGAGAAACAGGAATTGGAAAACTTTAGGAAATACTTATCAATGAATGACAAATATTCTGCCTTGGGGGGGAGGATGGGAGATAATGGATGGATGGATGGATGAATGGATGGAGAGAGAGAGAGAGAGGAAAAGAAAGAAAGAAAGAAAGAAAGAAAGAAAGGAAGGAAGGAAGGAAGGAAGGAAGGAAGGAAGGAAGGAAGGAAGGGAGAGAGGCAGGGAGGGAGGGATAGATTTTTTTTTGCTGGAGAGAGATGGCAATGATACACTGCCACTGCCAGAATTGCAAAAGTTCCACCGTTAAAGCTGCATCAAGATGTTGCCTTGCACAGTGGGGTTGGGCTAGATGACTTCAGAGGTCCCTTCCAACCCCGATTCCATGAAAAGCCAGCCTGATCTTGCTCACTTACCTGCGTAAATAACAAGGCCGTAGCAGACCGCTGTGTTACGTACTCTACAGCCACGCAACAGGATTTTCTCACAGTCAAGAGGGTATTTCTCTCCGTGCCATTCCAAGGTACCAACAAAGTTGTGTAACCGGCTGTTTGGCTCTTCGCAGACCACCTCACCTGGACGGTTGGAAAGAGGAGGTGAGAACCTGGCTCACCTGCTTCTCCTCTGTAAAGAAACCCTCCTTTTCCTGCAATCCCAGCACCTATTTAAGCATTCGTCTTAAAATGGCACCTATATGCCAACCAGGATTGATATGTGTATTTTTTTTAAAAAAAATTTCAAGCATATTTTCCTCTGAGAATTGTATCCCTAAAGTCATTTATAAGATCAAAACTTCAATAGCAAAGGAAAGAGAATTCAATTTAGGGGTGGGCTGCTACTGATTCGCCCGATTCATGAGAACCTGTACTTAACGTTAGGGCCAGTTTGGAGAACCTTCAAATCCCACCCCTGGTTGGCTCTGCCCCCTTCCCTCCCAGGAGTCTCCATGCAGCCCGTTTTGGATGTGAGGTAAGTGCAGGGCCCGCGAGGAGGCTCGGGGAGGGAGGAAAACGGGCCTCCCGGAAGTTCTGGAAGGCCGGAAAAGGGGCCCATTTCTAGCCTCCAGAGGCTAGTCTGGGGGAAGCAGTTTTCGCCCTCCCGGAGGCTCAAGGAAAGCCTCCGGAGCCTTCGGAAGGTGAAAATCAGAGGTGGGTTCCTACCAGTTCGCACCTATTTGGTAGAACCGGTTCGTCAAAT